CATTTTTTTTTCATGTAAAAAAAAGTCTCCAACTAGTCTTTCCAGTAGGAACTTGAGTCAGCACTGGGTCCCCCCGCAGGGGTCCCAGGGCCGTGCGACAGGCGGTCTGGCCGAGACAGGGCTCCTTGGCAGTGCTGGGCTGCGCGCTCGGCAGACCCGAGGCCCCTCGGCAGGCCCAGCACAGCGGGGTGCCAGGCGCTGCTCGCTCCCTTTCTTCCCTCGCCCTTTGTCCCGGGCGGGACTGCGGCTCCACTAGGGGCCCTGAATGTCAATAGCCCGCCCCTTCCCCTGCTCCGAGCAGCTCTCACGCGGGGCTGCCCACCCCCCAATCCTTCCCCCTCGGACTAGGCCGGTGGGGGCTGGGCCTCCCTGGCTGGGAGTCGTCTTTGGAAGCGGGCTTTGTCTGTGAAGTTCATCTTCAAGGTTGGGAGGGACTGCCGAGAGCCGGGGAGAGACCTGGGCTGGGAGTGCTCGGGAGGCTGGGAGAGGGGTGCCCCGGCAGAAGCCTCTGGAAGGAAGGAGACCCGAACAAAATGGCTCGCCCACTTTTTCCAAAAACCACAATTTCGCCGGTTCCTAGGACCGCTGTCTTCCGATCCTCTCCCCGCGACTCCCTCCCTGCGGGTGTTTGGGGGCCCTCCTTTCCCCAGATCCGTCTTTGTGGCTCTGGGTCTTTGCACTTGTCCCCTCGGCCCCACTCGGTGCACACAGACCCAGTCTCCAAGAGAACCGCGAGGGAGGGGTGAAGGGCAAAGACTTTCCCTTCCTCCTCTCGAAACTTCTCCGTCTGTAACAAAAGCGTAGTCCCCTTCCCCGGGCGTGCAGGCGCTTGAAAGAGAAAACGCCTTCCTCAGGTCGCGGGGGAAAGTCTGAGCCGGCAGCCCGCGCCCCAGCCTCGCCAAGGGTGGGGAGGGGGTGTGTGGCGCCTGGGTCCCCCGCCCGGGGACGACATCTGGGAACTTGGCCTCCACTCCCCGCCCCATCCGCGAACGCCAGAGAGGAAGGCACCCTTCCGCCCGCCACTCTGCCCTGGCGACGCGGGACTGAGAGCCAGGCGGCCGCCCTGCCCTCGCTAATTTTTATTGATTGCGGCGGTCAGTCAACTGTCAGGCGGGGTTTCAAGGGACCGTTTAGAGAGCTGTGCGGGTCTGGTTAACAAATTCATTTAGGGAGCCGCGGGCCAGCTCCTCCTTCCTCGCTCCCCTCCCCGCCTTCCCCAAGTTTCCTATAAATAATTGATCAACAGCGGGACGAGCAGCCCAAGCGCCAGCCCCGAGGACGCGCGTACCCGGGGAGACCCCGCGCGCGCAGGGGCTGCACAGCCGCGGCGCGCTCCGCTCCTCCCCGCGGCCCGGTTGCCTGGCAGAGGAGACGCGGCTCCGCACCCTGCCGCGGCCCGGGGCGCACCGAGGGGGCGCTCTCCGCATAGCCTGGAAAGCTCCCGGCTGCCCGCCGCCTGCGAGTTTTTCCGCACGAGCTCTGTCCGCGGCGCTGGGGCAGCAGGAGCGAGCCACAGGCCCGCCGGAGGAGCGTGGGAAGGCGCGGGCTCCGTGGTCAACGGGCCCTGGCAGTTTCCTACCTTTGTCGCCCAGAATGCCGTCGATACTGTGTTTGGCCTTCTTCTCGCCATCGTCCTCTTTTTTGTCCCCTTCGTCCTCCTCCTCTTTCTTCCCGAACTTGATTCTGAGCACGCGGCTAATCGAACTCACTAAACCTCAGAAATTCAAAGGCAAAAGAGCAAGTATAAGTTGTTGGGCAAAGGAGAAGTGGGGAACCCCCACCCCACAGCACTCCCCAGGCCGCCAGCATTTGCACCTACTCACAGGGACCCTCAGCACACCTGAGGCACCCACCCAGTGCCTTCCCACACAATCCCATGTCCCATGTCCCACAGGACACACCTCACATCCTAGATGCTGCCCTCCACACCCACTCCTCCTAGACGTGCCCCCAATTCCTGCTGCTGCCTTGCCCAGGCTCAGGTGTGTCCTGGCCTGCACGTCTGAATGCACATGGACACACACATACACACACACTCACACACACCCCTACTTTCCCTGTTATGGTGGTTTGGGGCCTCTGAATTGGGGACTCACTGGTGGGTGGTGGTAGCCAGAGAATGGAAATGATGATTTGGGGAGAGGGGTCCAGGAAATAGGGCAGACAGCAGCCCTCCTGGGGCAGGTCTCTCCTCTGGGTAACTTCTGGCCCTCTCTCCCCTCCTCCCCCTTCCTTCCTCCCACCTGCCTGTCGGCTGTCCTTTCCTTCCCCACCTTCCTTTCTTCCTGCCCTCTCTCCTAACTTTCTTCTTGCTCATCCTCCTTTCTGTTGGATTCACGACTGCTCTCTGTCTTCTTGCTCCCTCTTCCTCCCTTCTCAGCTTCAAGGTCCCGGGGAACCACCACTCCCCACTCTTTCTCCCCTCCATCCCCACACCCTGAGCCCTGTCTTTGGGCTGGCAGGTTCCCCGGCTCAGCTGCCTTCTCACCTGAGGGCACCGTGCTGCGGTCGCAGTGCCCGTCCTTCAGCAGCCGGTCCCGGATCTCCCAGCTGAACATGCCTGGGTTTTCCCTCTTGTACTCCTCAATCTTTTTCTCCACATCCGGAGTCGCCACCTGCTTCAGAGGTGGAGGTGGGAGAGGAGGAGTGGACAGATGGGGTGGGGGAAGGGAGATACTTTTAATACCAACCTCCCGAGAGCCCCAGGCCAGGCTGGTGGCTCTGGTCACCAGGCTCCCCTTCCAAGATTGGCTCTGTTCTTTCAAGAAATCAGTTCCTGGCTCCCAGGATGGCAGCTGGGTAGGGAGCAGGGATGGGTAATAAAATACAACCTAATTAGCACCCCAGGACCTCCCCTCGCCATCACAGGAAGGCAGAGATTTCCCCCGGTCCGGGGTAGCAGCAGAGACTTGGGGTAGTTGCAGGGACAGTCCAGAGATAGTTTATTAGCCTCAAAGTCAGGGACAACCTAGACCTGTTATTCCCTTCCCTCCCTGAGAAATTCAAATAATGGGGAAATAATGGGGACTTATCTGGGGTGGGGGACACTCCCCACTGTGCTTCCCATGGAGAGCATACAGACACCCCAGTGCCGGGGTGTGACACACAGGAGTAGCACAAGGGGTGGCAGCCAGGGTCCCAGCCGCGGGGAGGCCTGCTGCCAGGCTCGGTGGCAAAGACACTCACTCTGGGCTTGCTGCCGCCGATGGCCCCAGGCCTGATGGAGCCAGTCTCCTGGTAGCGGCAGAGAATCTTGGAGACGCAGCCATGGGAGACCCGCAGCTGGCGGGAGATGACACAGGGCCGGATGCCATGATGGGCCATCTCCACAATCTTGTGGCGGATGTGGTTAGGCAGGGGTCGCCCGTTGATGAAGACCCCGCCAAGCTGATTGACCCGGCCTTGGCCAAGCGGGGTGGACACTGGAGAGGGAAGAGAGAGAGACCTGGGTGAGGACAGGGAGGGGACGCTGGCTGACTGCCCTCGGGGACTCGGGCTGCTTGAGCCCCAAGACCTCTCACCCCGGATCTCCCCACATTCAGAGCCACTCGGGTAGACAGAGGTGGGAAGGACTGTGGGGAAGGAGGACCTGTGGGAGTGGAGGGAGAAGTCACCGCTGGGCTGTGAGGACCTCCACACAGGCCTTGTGCCTTTACCCTGCCACACCCAAGGATGTCACACACCTGGCGAGAAGAGGGACACTGCAGAGGAATGAGCCTGGTGGTGCTCTAAAGACCTCTGGGGCACTGGCTGTCTGTCCCCCAGGCCAGGCGTGGGCCACCGGTCTGCCTGCCTCTCAGAGACGCCAATTACTGATGAGATGTGGCCCATCGGATGCGATCAGTTCCACGATCCCAGGAGACTGGTGACTGATCCACTTTATTGGTGGCTACAAAGGGCTGGTTGAGTCCTAGCCTCTACAGCTCAGCTTGAGCAGCGACCTGACCTACCCGTGGCTGAAGGGCCCAGGGTCAGTGACACAGTGCTGCACGGAGCTGCCTCCCCAGGCACCTGGCTGTGCCTTGGGGGAGCCCCCTTGTTTCCAATCACTCTCAAAGTTTTAATTTCGTTTTGGAGCAACTGGGGGACACATCCCACTGCCAGCAAGCTCCAAAACATCCCGCTCAGAAACCCATGCGCGGTCCCTGCAGGCTCTGCTCGAACACAGATGGGCCACAGTCCCAAGGGTGTGGGTGACTTTGAGAACCAGGAAGGCAGACAGCCCCGCTGTGTTCTGAGGAAAGAGAACGGCAGGCACGGGTCGCCTTAATGCAAAGTCTACACAATTTTCTCACAGAAGGTTGGGGGACACCCGGTGCACTAATCCGGCCTCGATCCCCCCAATTTGGGGACTCGGCGGCTGCGGAGATCTGGAAGATTAGAACGATTTCACAGCCGCCAGAGTGGAGGGAGCTGTCGGTATAATTGGAAGGGAGGGGGCGGGAAGAGGCTCGGCTGCAGGGCTCT